CGCTCTAAGCACCCCATCTTTCTTCCCAACAAAAAAAAAACCCTGCCCCAGCTGGGGACGAGGATGGGCGTATCAACCCAGCCCTCTGGGCTTCCGTGATATAATCAGTCATGGCCCGCTGTTCTGGAACAGACAGAGAAAACAGGCGGCCCCTAGGAGGCATGGTGCCTGGCAATAAGTCTATAGCACAGTCATAGGGTCTATGTGGAGGAAGGGAAGACGCCCGGGTCTTGTTGAATATTTGTTTCAAATCGTGATATTCTGGTGGCACTTTCGTTAAGTCCGTGATAACGTCTAATGGCCCTCCCCGATTGGTGTGTTGTGGAACCGTGGAGTGCAGACAGGTGGTGGCACACTGAGCGGCCCATTCTACCACCCGCCCTGCTCCCCAGTTCATTTTGGCCCCGTGCTTAACTAGCCAGGGAAAACCCAATACCACCGAATGATGTGGAGATCGCATGACTAGAAACTGTATTTCTTCTGTGTGATTGTCTATGGTAAGCGTGAGTGACGTGGTCTGTGTAGTAACTCGGTGCAAGAATTTATCGTTGAGTGAATGCACCAGAAGAGCCGGGTCCACTATGCAGGTAGGTATCTCATGTGCCTGGATAAACGCAGGATCCATAAAACATGCGTCGGAACCCGAATCAATGAACACAGGCGTTGTAATGTCATAAGCATGGAAAGATAAAACAGCCTGTACCGTGGGATGAGAGGTCGACTTAGCTGTAGTGTAGTGGCTCAGCAGCGCCCTCCTCTTTTTGCTGAGCTCTGTTCTTTTACCGGACATGCGAAGGCACGATGTCCAGGACCTCCGCAGTACAAGCATAGATTCTGCCTGAAGTGATGTTCTCGTTCTTCTGGCATTAATCTCATTTTCCCAAGTTGCATGGGCTTCGGGGTATCTGATGCGGCGCTGGGACCGGCGTGCGATGATCCCCGGTGGCGTTCCTGCTGGCGTTCCCGGTATCTCCCCTCCAGGCAGGTGACTAAATCCATGAGGGGACGCAGTCTCCTCGGGCGATTGTAGGCTGTCAGGGCATCTTTTAGGCAATCCGATAGGCCATAGTAAAAAGTGTCCACCAGTGCTGGTTCGTTGTACTCGCTGACAGCAGCGGCAGTGCGAAAAGCGATGATATAATCCACAGCTGACTGGGACCCTTGTGATAGTGACATGATGGAGGGAGAAGCGGCCGAGTCATAGCATGGTGGATCAAACACCCTGGTGAGCTCCGCAGCGAAACCCCCAAACGTGTCGCAGCAGGCCGTCCTAGCTGTCCATTCCGCCGTGGCCCATTGTCTGGCTTTTCCGGTTAACAAAGATAAGGTGTAGGCCACCTTGGCTCGTTCGGTGGGAAACGCTGATGGTTGCATTTCAAAAAGGATCTCGCATTGGGTGAGAAACGCATTGCTCTCTTTGCTCTCTCCTCCATACCGTTGTGGCGGAGACAGTCTGGGCTTGTGTTCCGCTGAAGCACTGGCTGCAGCCACCCCGGCAGCGGCCTGATCGCCTCTTGCCTGACCTAACTGGTGCAGGTCCATCTGTGTCTGACCCAGGGCAGCTCCCTGGTGGGCTAGGGCCTGCTCCATCCGAGCTCTCCAGTCAGGCTCTTGCTCGCTGGTTGAGTCCATACTTTTGGCCAGATTGTATTGTCAGATTTGATGTGTAAGAACGCCACATGGTGTTTGTGGTGGACTCAATTATAAAATCAGACGAACTGATTTAGCTGAAGGTTTTACTTGTAGCACCTAGATAATCAATACACAGTTCGGGATACACAATCAGGTCGATAAGACAGTCCAGGGTCAGCGCCGGTAGACAGGTATAGCCAGGAGATCCAAACTCAAGAGGTCAAGGGGAATAACTCAGAAGGTCGGTACACTGCAGGCAATCAGAAACTGGAAGGGCATAGGCAAAACACGGTGGTCAAAAACAGTAATCCAAGGTCAAAAACAGAGAATCAGGCAAGGTATAAATGCTGGAGAGTCAGAGCTGGAGTCTAGAACAATCTGGCAGCGTCCTGGTGGGAGGACGCTGCCTAAGTAGAGGTGCACACAATAACGAAACAGTTGAAACCAATGTGAGTGATGAAGAACGTAAAAAGACCGAAACTAAGGTGAAACAAAAACAGGAAGTAACGTCAAAATAAAAGCCTGACAGGAAGCAACGGAACCGAATCGTGACAAACTTTATTGTGTGTGTGTGTGTGGATTTGTTTGTGTGATCCATGAGTTCGTAGTTAACATTATGTACAACTACTATACAGGAGCAACAGCAGTAATAACTACAGCAGGATTAACATCAGCTGCAAACAGAGTGTTTGATATAATGTAGGAGTGAAACCCGTCTCTTCAGAACCCAGCACAGCGTGAAGATGCTGAATCCAAAGCACACTAAGACACAATCGTCAGCAACCAGTGTGAGACCAAACTTTTCTTTTGTGCCTTTTTCTCTGCTTTCCCTCCCAGCACTCTGTGGAGGCTGTTAATGCCGGAGTGAATCCCATCGGTGACACCTCCTATAACTCAAGCCACTGGGATCTGGGTAGTGCCTTCTTCTTTGCTGGAACTGTCATCACAACCATAGGTACTGTGATTATGGCTTTATCCTTAGCTACATCTATCTATCTATCTATCTATTTATCTATCTATCTATCTTAAAATTGAGTTTTAAGAAGGGTGCTGGTACATGGCAATAAGGAAATGTTTTACAGCTTTCCCTATTACAAAAGCGAAGCCTACACAGCCAGGGATCAACACATCCAGTTACCCGACCTAGCCTGCCGCCCGACTTGCATTGCACACAACTTTGATTCCTTTTCCTGCAGCTTGTGGGTTTACAGGGCAGTGGCACCATCTAATTTCTTCAGGCTCTAATTGACCAGACTACATTAAAAAAAAGGGACCAGAGAGTGTACTCCAATTATTGGTGTATCACACTACTCAGCTTCCCTGAGAAAGGTTATGCCAGGGTGCTGGAAAGGAGGCTCCAGCTGATTGTCGAATCTAGGATTCAGGAGGAACAATGTGGATTCCATCCAGGTAGAGAAACACTGGATCAACTCTTTACCCTTGCAAAGTTAATAGAGAGATCCTGGGAACACACTGGAGAGATTATATATTTCCCCTGGCCTTATGTCAAGAGGTGATCCTCACCCAAGTCTGTCGCAGCACAGAGCAATATGAAATGCACACTGTGTATCTTTCTAAGCTCACAAGAGAAAGAGGCATGGGTGCAGCTACTGGTGGATAGGAATTTGGCTTTTAGCACTATCAACACTTTATGCTGCTGCCATTTCCTCCTGCCATGAGAGCTTTGGTGATACAGTAGGTCACTGTTCAGCCACCTGTTAGTGAAACATTTTCTGAGGGGCATCTGGAAGCTGTGGCCCATGGCTCACCCCATGGCACTGCAGTGGGACCTCCCCCTGGTGCTTTGTACAGTAGGCAAAGCTCAGTTTGACTCACTCAGCCAGGTTCCCCTGAAATTTCTAAGACCGTATTTCTTTTGGCTTTGACATTTGCCAAGAATGTTGGTGATCTATATGCTATTTCTGTGTCCCCTTCTTGCATCAGGATTTAAGGGGATGGCAGCTCAGCTGTGTTATGACCAAACCCACCTCACACACCCAAGAGCATAACCAGCTCTTAGAGGTTGAGGGTGAAAATGCTAATGGGTTCTTCCCTTTTCCTCCTCAATGCTTAGAGCAGGAATCCTCCTTTCACCTGCATGCATGGCCGTGCCTCACCAATCCAAATGCTTGTTCTTGCACTAGAAGGAGGGATCCCGTGGCCTCCCCCTCTCAGCCCAATGGTTGTCACACTGGGTGTGCAACATTTTCTCATCTGCTGCAGTGCTCTGAGGAGTGTTGCTCGAGGACATTTGCTCAATAGCCTCCTGGTCTTCACCCTGCTCATTCATGCTGTTTTACTTACAAGACTTCTCCCTCTCCTCCTTAACCTGCCCTGTTCTTAGCTGTGTTCTGAGTTAAACAGTGTCAGAGGCTAACCATGCTCCCCTCCTGCCCTGTGGACAGGGGCAGGACAATTATCATACACACCATACTATGTCTGGCTCTGAGCTGTTGCATCAGGTTACCACTACTGCAACACTCACAACAGTGGGTTCATGTTCAGGATGTGTTACTGAACTGACCAGCATTAGCTGGTACACTCTTCCTTCCTTTAAATGGCAAGGGTGAGGTTGTGCTTAAAGGAACCAAACAGACACACTGGGACATATGTCACATCCTGCTTCACCATTATCCCAGTAGCAATATCCTTAGAGGGCAAAGCCTATATGAAATTGAACATTGGTTACACATTGTAACCAAGGATTCTGTGAGTATAGGCACAGCTGCTAAGATATTAGCCCCTGGCTCCCCTGATCAAAGAAAAAGCTGGTTTTTAGTTGAGAGTTGACTTGCAGTCAATTCGCAGTTTATATTTGAGCTGCGGACATAAGAGAGGCCCACATAGCAGGTGGGAGTGGGACAAGTGTTTTCAGCAATGCAGGACAGTGTGGGATATACCCACTAGCAATAGCCTTATAGGTCTGCACCTATACTCATAAAATCTTTGGTTACTATGTTTAACCAGCATTCTAAATAAAGATTAGAATTGGATCTGCATTATTCTGGCTGATACCGATCCTCTGCCCAGACTGGCACCGATACCAGTAATTATTATCAGATCGGGACGTCTCTAGTTTTAACAGCAGGCCAAAAAGCAATGTTGTGCTGCTCTCTCTGGTTGAGTGTTTCAAGTCGGTTTTACTTCTGACCACAGCCAGCATTACTGGGTATGACTAGGTGTAGTCAAAAGTGCACTCGATTGAATCTCTAACCACACCCAGCAGTGGTTTCATGGGTCCTGGGGTGCACTTTACTTCTCTGCAGCCAGATGAAAGTTAAAGGGAATTTTTCCTCCCCACTGTCGCCAAGTGCTTGCTCAAGGGGGATCTGTTGGGTTTTCCCTATGTAATAATAGTGATAACAGTAAGGTCTAGAACTTACTTTGTAAAGTGTCCTGAGATGACTTTTGTTGTGATTTGGCGCTATACAAATAAAATTTGATTTGATTTGATTTGAAACCACTGAAGGTCAGACATTAAACTGCTTTTATTCCACCCTTGACTTGCACTGGTAATATAAAGCATATCTCTAAATTGAAATATTTCCAGAATTTTAAACATTGTGTGTATCTGGGGGGGCGTGTCTTTTTCTCCTATAGGTTACGGTAACATTGCCCCAAGCACTGAGGGAGGGAAGATTTTCTGCATTCTGTATGCAATATTTGGCATCCCACTGTTTGGATTCCTCCTGGCAGGTGTCGGGGACCAGCTAGGTACCATATTTGTCAAAAGCATTGCCAAAGTGGAGAAGATGTTTCGGGTGAGTCGCAGTGTAAATATACTATTATCAACTATTATTATTATACCAACCATCAACTGTTATACTATTATAAACTCAGTTTTGTGAAAACATGGTTATGAAATTGACATTTGTAAGGTGGTCCATTTCTTTAAAATAAGGACAGTAACAGACAAGAGAACAAGACCCCAAGTAAAGTTTAACAAAGTGAGACAATACGCAGATGTCTGAGGACTAATACTACTATATCAATCTGAAGTGGCAGCTGCCTTTATCAATGTTTGAGACCTGTATCAAGGATTATTTAGGACTCATTTATGGGAAGTCATTCTGCAGGACTTCCCTCAGATTAGTTCAGTCTTTCATAGATAAATGTGCTGCCAGAATTTACTTCATCTGCCTGAGACACAAACTAATTCAATACTTTATTAGTAATCTTGTCAGACAATCATGTATTCTGTGGAACTATTAAGAAAGGGACAGTGATCATGGCTGTTGTGTAAGGGGGTCATTTAGCATCTCACCTTCCTACTAAACCTGTACTTAGATTCTTTAAACTTGGCCTTGTCACCACTTTGGAATGCATCTTCTTTTTCCAGCCTTAACTGGTTTACTGTAGCTGTCAATCAGGGTTTGTCATTGTAGTAACTCATCCTGATGCATGTTGGTTAGGGGTGTACATCCCACATTTCAACACTATGATCTTATATCAATTCTCTTGGGGATTCAGGAACTCACAAAGTTGAGGTGTGGCAGTGTTGCTGGGACACCGCACATAGTGCAGAACAAGAGTACAACAGTGTCCCTGGAGATACAGGTACTCAGAGGCAAGACATTTCAGGCAGGAGATAGGACCAGAATGGTGACAGCGTTGTCAGTGCAGAGGATCAGGACAAGAAAGTCCAGGTGAGGCGAGCATCGTAAACGTAGTGAGTATCATCATTATCTTCAAACAGTGTCAATGGACCAGCCAGTGACCGAGGTAAAGGGAGAGGTATATATGGGCTGCAGACTGGGAGATAATGTGGAACAGGTGAAAACAATGAACAGTGATGGTGTACTGAGGTGAGGTGACACAGGGCAGGAATTAATCAAAATAAAAGCTCTCAAAAACAGGAAATGAAGCTGAACCATGACAGATAGTGGAGAGAGAAAAGGGGTGAAAAAGCATCAGGACACAACAAACAATCAAACACTGGGCAGGTTAGTGTTAATGTAGCCGGTGCCTGCTCATCAGAAATGTACGGCTTCAGAGCCAGGGCTACCTGCAGAAAGGAACAGGGAGAGAGAGAGGACACACTATGGTCTTTTGGAGATACAGTGCCTTGCGAAAGTATTCGGCCCCCTTGAACTTTGCGACCTTTTGCCACATTTCAGGCTTCAAACATAAAGATATAAAACTG